AGCGGGGGTACGATTTGTCCGCCCATTGGTGCCGACAGGATGCGTCAACGTATGTGCGTCTCAAGCGTCGCGGGAAACCCGTCTCGCCAGCGCTTAGGAGAACGAGGCGCCGAAAAAAAACACCACATGTTGTTGCAGACATGTTGTTGGGCAGCAAATGTTGACCCCGTCCCGCAACATTTTGTAGTACAGGGCAGTGGTGCCAAACAGTGCATCGCATCTTGCCGGTTGCCCGGGGGGGCACGATTTGTCCAGACACTGACCGTTCTACTAAGCACTGGCGGACTCTGCTTGGTTGCAGGAGCGCAGAGGGCGTGGCATTCGACCGACAGTGCGGCACCGACTCCAGCCCGCCACCGACAGCGCCAGGTTTTGCGCCCCGAGGAGGCAGAGGAGACCACTACCGCAGAGGAGGAGACCACCACCGCAGAGGTGACGGGCGGCTCGCGCCGGCGGCTGCCCAGGCTGCAGGAGGAGGCAACCCTGGAATTCCATGGGGTCCGCACGCCCCGAGGAGGCGCCTCCGGAATTGAAGGGGGTACCCCTGCAAAGAGGGGGGAACAGGGGGAGATAGCCCTTCCTGGAGTGACGGGCGGCTCGCGCCAGCTGCCGCTCAGGCAGCAAAAGGAGGCAGAGGAGGAGCACCGACTCAGCGCCAGGAGTCAGAGGCGGCTGAGGAGGCAACCCGAGGATGAAGGCAGGGAGGAGACCACCACCGCAGAAGTGATGGGCGGCTCGCGCCGGCGGCTGCCCAGGCTGCAGGCACAGGTTGCCCGGGAATTCCAGGGGGTCCGCACGCCCCGAAGAGGCAGCCCAGGAATTCAAGGGGGCACCCTATCAGAAAAAGAGGAGCAGGGGGAGACATCCGCCCCTGGAGTGACGGGCGGCTCGCGCCAGCTGCCGCTCAGGCCGCAGGAGGAGGCAGAGGGGCATCGACTCAGCACCAGGAGGCAGAGGCAGCTGAGGAGGCCGCAAAATGAGGCAGAGGGGTCAGAGGAGGACGGGGAGAGGACAACGGGGAAGGAAAAGGGGGAGGCGGGCGCGAGGAAGAGGGGGAGGGGGAGGGTGCGGTGGACGCCATTTGGTGGGGGCCGCGTGGAAGGCGAGGTCCGCTGCAAATGTCGGGCCGGTGGGAGCAATAGACAGGTTAGGTTCACCATGGGAGCGGCCAAGCACACGAGCGGGCGCGGCCCGTGGCAAAAGGCGAGCGGGTAGGCGAAAGTAACTCGGGGCCGCGCAAATGGCTGGCCTTGCCGCCAGGCTGTGTCCTGGAGGTACCTGCCTCTTTCGCATGTATGTGGGGTGTCGCGAGGCCGCGCCTTGGTGAGACAGGCGGTTCGGAACGACATGCGCTCAGGACCTCCGGCGTTGCCTCCAGACTGTGTCCCGGAGTCGAATGCCTCGATCGACTACCGGACCGCTGGCCTTGCCGCCAGACTGTGTCCCAGACCCAGAGGCGCATGCCTCGATCGACTACACGACGGCTTGCCTTGCCGCCAGATTGTGTCTTGGAGGCGAATGCTTCAGTCGACTACAGGTCCGCTGGCCTTGCCGCCAGACCGTGTCCTGGAGGTCTCTACCTCTTGCGTAGGCGCGTGGGGTATAGCGAAGGCGCGCCATGTTGACGCAGGCGCTACGGGGCGACAAGCACTCAGGACCGCTGGCCTTGCCGCCAGACTGTGTTTTGGAGGCGGATGCCTCGATCGATTAAAGGACCGCTGGCCTTGCCGCCAGACTGCGTCCTGGAGGTATCTACCCCTTTTCGCAGGCGTGTGGGGTGCATCGAGGCCGTGCCATGGTGACGCAGGCACTGCGGCACGACATACACACAGGACCGCCGGCATTGCTGCCCGCTTGTGTCCTGGAGGCGACTGCCCCGTTCGACTAGAAAACCGCTGGCCTTGCCGCCAGACTGTGTCCTGAAGGTATATACCTCTTGCGCAGGCGTGTGAGGTACAGCGAGGCCGTGCCATGGTGACCCAGGAACTGGATGTGCAGGATGGCATGGACGTGCTGGGGCATGACCGCGAGGGGGGTCAAGGTCAAAGGAGGCTGATGGGCGACAGACCAAGAGAAGGGGCATGGTTCTACATGGCAGAGTCCAGTCCCGCTGCACCCGTGGGCGCATGACTGAGGGTAGGGGGAGGATGACGAGGACGGGGGAGGGGAGGCGGGCGCGAGGGAAAGGGAGAGGAGAAGGAAAACGGGGGATGGGGAGGGGGCGGCAGACGCCACGGGTGGGGGGGCGCGTGGAAGGCGAGGTCCTCTGCAGTTGCCGGAACGATGGGGGTGGTAAGCACTTTTAACATGAGGGCGACCAGGCACAGTAAGGGGCGGTGGCCCACGCCGCCATGCGAGCGAAAAGGGGCATGTAGCGCAAGGGTTCGTGGATGATTGGCCTTGCCGCCAGACTGTGTCCTGGAGGTACCTGCCTCTTGCTGGCGTGTGGGGTGCAGCGCGGCCGCGCCATGGGGACACAGGCGGTACGGAACGACATGCACTCTGGACCGCTGGCCTTGCCGCCAGACTGTGTCCCAGAGGCGCATGCCTCGATCGATTACAGGACCGCTGGCCTTGCCGCCAGACTGCGTCCTGGAGGCATCTGCCCCTTTTCGCAGGCTTGTGGGGTATAGCGAAGGCGCGCCATGTTGACGCAGGCGCTACGGGGCGACAAGCACTCCGGACCGCTGGCCTTGCCGCCAGGCTGTGTCCTGGAGGCGGATGCCCCGATCGACTACAGGACCGCTGGCCTTGCCGCCAGACTGTGTCCTGGAGGTGTCTACCTCTTCTGCAGGCGTGTGGGGTACATTGAGGCCGTGCCATGATGAATCCGGTATTGGATATGCATGGTATCACGGGAGCGTTGGGGCATGACCATGAAGGGGGGGTCAAAGTCATGAAGGCGCACGGAACGCACGGGCTCGTAACTGGCTGGCCTTGCCGCCAGACTGTGTCCTGAAGGAAAATGCCTCAATCGATTACAGGACCCCGTGCCTTGCCGCCAGATTGTATCCTGGAGGTATCTACCTCTTGCGCCCGCGTGCGAAGGAACACGAGGCGCTGCGGAACGACATGCACTCGGGACCGCTGGCACCGCCGCCAGACTGTGTCCTACGGTGACGCAGGCGCTACAGAGCGACAAGCAGTCAGGACCGCTGGCCTCTTCGCCAGATTGTGTCCTGGAGGCGAATGCCTCGATCGACTTTGCGGGTGTCGCCCAGGATCCCTGACTCTTGGAGCGGTTGTGCAGGTGCTCGTCGGGTGCGCGCGGATCGCACAGCCCTGCCGACGCCCCGCGCGTCCTGCACAACCTCCGTCCCAAGGGTTGCGGTAGCCATCGGCATGGGGAGGAGGAGGAGGAGCAGCAGGAGCAGGAACAGGAGCAGGAGCAGGGGCAGGAGGGGGGAGGAGGAGGAGGAGTGGAGTGGAGTGGAGCAGATGACGAAGTCATATCCTGGAGCAGCAACAAGAGAAACAACCAACGAGGCAGCAGCTCAGGCGGGGGCGGAGGCGGGGGGGCGGGGGCGGCGGTCCTGGTACTTGTCGCGCGGGCGCGGGCGCGCGTTCGCCCCGCACCCTGCTG